TTTATCATTGAGTCAAATGCTGACTTACGTTTTTAATACTAATTGTTAGTCCATTATTTATACACTGAACTGACGATGGATTTTTCCGATCATGATAAGGAGCAAACGGCGGGTGTGAGCGGTCAGCAGGGGATGCTCACTCCTCCATGGCTCCTGATCGCACCTCTGATGTTTTAGAGGTCCGTGTTTGCTCTGCTCCTATTTTGCATTTTTTATGGACTTTGATATTGAATACTGTTCGTTTTTTCCATATCCTTCATTCAAGCTCACCGGGATATACATGTATCGTTTCGACATAAAAATGGAAATGACCATTCATTGACAATATGTCGTTGATATTTCAAAATGTTGAGTTGAAGGCCACAGCTAGTGTTTTCTTATTTTATTAGATTTTTTAAGTACATATATACGGTTTTGGACATATTTGCATTATTTGAATACAAAAATAGGTCTGTGTGCTTATAACAGGGCGCAGAGTCTGTGTTAATCTGTCGTCGTTAAATTTTTATATCTTTTTCAACAGAACAACCGGGCCAATTTTAACAAATGTGGCACAGAGTATGTTTAGATAATGAAGGGTCACGCCCTCTTTCAATATGAAATAATAAAGACAGATTAAAATTAGATGGGAGCATCTTAAACAAGAGGCTTATGGGCCACATCGCTCGCCTGAGTAACTTTGCCCATTCTGTTATTTAACATATTTTCCTCTTAGTAATACCTATTTTGACCTTGCCCAATCCCCAGGGGTCATGAATCGAACAATTTAGAATCTACACTACCCCAAAATGCTTCCACATAAGTTTCTGGCCAAAAGATTCTTGAAAAGAAGAGTTTTAAGATTTTTCATGTAACTTCATTTTAAAACTTGGATTCCCTATTGTGGCCCCCACCCTACCCCCGGGGGTCATGATTTGAACAATTGAGAATCTACACTATACCCCTGAATGCTTTCACATAAGCTTCGGCTTTTCTGGTCCAATGATTCTTACGAAAAAGATTTTTTAGATTTTTCCTATATTTTTCGATGTAAAACTTAGATTCCTTATTGTGGCCCCGCCCTCATGATTTGAACAATATAAAATTTACACTACCCCAGGATGCCACATAAGTTTCAGCTTTTCCGGCCAGTGGTTCTTGAGAAGATTTCTTTAATGACCCCACCCCTTTTTTTCTTTTCTTGATTATCTCCCCTTGGAAGGGGACGCAGTCCTTCATTTTAACAATTAAACTTCACTTTATCCAAACATTGCTTTGTACCAAGTTTGGTTTAAATTGGTCCAGTGGTTCTTGGGAAGAAGTTGAAAGTGTAAAAAGTTTACAAACGGACGCACGAACAACAGGTCATCAGAAAAGCTCACTTTAGCCTTTAGCTCAGGTCAGCTAAAAATCTTTTCAAGAATCAGTCGGTCAAGTATTGGGGGTTCTACTTCAGAACAGGAAAGCCACTATGGGTCTTATCAATAACAGGAAAGCCACGATCAGTAATATCTAAATGGAATGGAAGCATTCATATGTACGCGAGTTGTTCGAAAAGTTCGTGGACTAGCGCCATAAAATTAAAACTGCTGAAGATACATCAATGATTTTTTTAACGTTTAATCAGCATCTTTTTTATTAATATAATTAACTTTACATCATTAATTATCTTTTTTAATAAATTGATTTTTTTTTAAAGCAACGGTTAATGTCTAGGCGGCGAAACCTCGAAGATTACGTTTTTTCTACCTAAGTATAACTGATCATGAGAAAAAACTTTTTTTAATATGAGCATTTGTCATCCAAAAATGCCATTAATTCACCCATGCGGTACTACAATATTATACCGTAAAATTTGCAATTTTAGCCCCATTCTGTAAGTTCTATGAAATTTCATAGTACACTTTATATGAAATGTCCAAACAATTTATGAGTTGTAGTGACATCAGAATGAGGGTTGGGTTTTTTTTTCTAACATGCTATAAGTTTCACCCCTGTAAAAAAAAAAAATGGAATATACCTAGGAAATACTTAACCATTGAAAAATAAAATGCATTCAAAGTACATTTTTTTTAAATATCAAGAGAGATTAAAGAGACGAGAAATGTAAAAGTAAAAATAAGATCGTTCAAAGTTTGTCACGTAGAAAAGTGACATTGATCATGCGTGATAGATGTGGAACGCCTACAAGCAAATATGCTGTTATAATTAAGTTGAAATCTTTCACCATGTATAGATCTATTTACAATATCATATGCATTGAAATTTAGCTATTCAAGACATTTTTATATAAACAGGACGATTTTTAATCTTTACTTAACTCCAAGGAATCTCATCAAGATAAGTATATTAGGTAACAATGGCGTCATGCAACTAAATGGCGACTGCGCCGGGTGAACAAATAATGTCTTTATTTCATGATATTTAAGGTATCAAGCTGAAATTTTCACCATTTTTCTAACTTTTGTTGTTTTATGTTCCTTAAAAATTTTGTAAGCATAAACTTCATAGTAATAATTTTTATCGCAGCTGTCTTGAAACTTTTCGTATTTTAGATTCAAGGCTGTTAAAATTATGACCCTTTGGAATTTGGTATGACTACTATGGGTGATCCAAGTTTCCATGATAAAAGAATTTAATCTTTTTTAAAAATATCTTACCGAATCGCTTGTAAGAATCACTATTTATACGCAGCTAAAGAAGTCTGGTATAGATAATTCATTCCAGAAAATACTGATATTTTATTTTGTGACATTTCAACCTTAAAATTTTTTATATTATTAAGTATTTAAAACATGCATATCCTAGGTTATTCGTGTGTCACACTGACAGATTTTCTTCTCGAAATATTGCTCGAATTACAAGTTTATCACTTAGAAGCACGTCTGGAATAAAATAAATCAATGGGAATTAAACATGTAATAAATGTAATGTTCTGCGATATCGATGCTGGCTCGATTCTGCTCACTGTTTAGTCCTATCTAGCTAAATAACTTAAATAAGCCTTTCATTTGTTAAGATGTTGCGCTCAGTGATAAGTACCTTTAGAGTAAGGAAGGCTTAATCAGTCAAGTCTGATTCTGTGAACACCTACCATTTTAATAACTTCGTTATCTGGCCTCCGCCTTGCAAATTAACATTACATGGTATTAAACGCATTTACACATGTATATACCATTGTTTGAATGACACTAAATTTTATGATTGGTCAGTTCATCTAGCTTTTGTTTGTTTCTCATATTTTAAATTTCACTGGTCAAGGGTATCGGATGTTTCAGTCCAACATCTTACTCATTAATTAAGACAAAAGCAACAAGAGATATTTGTGAAACACTTATCCCCCCAATAATTGAATTTTTTTAATTTAAATAATAAAATTATAAAGGGCCAAGCCTCCTACTATGGGGAGATAACTAAGACAACAATATGACAGGATTACTAATTCTTCCATCAAGAAACACTTGATCAGACAATATGAAACTTACGTACACGCTTCCTGAGGTATTGTAGATTTTAAACTGTTAAAATAAGGGCTCCAAGGGTGTAGGTTGGGGTCAAAATAGGGGATAAAAGTTTTACATGGAAATATATAGGAAAATATTCCACTGTTTTTTTGTTTCCAACCTTTTTATATAGATTCTAAATCGTTCAAATCGTGGTCTCTAGATATATAATAGACAACAATAAAGAATCACAGTTTTTGCATTGACTGAAGAGAAACGTCTCTATTCAAGAACCTCTAGGCCAAAAATGATGAAATTTGAATTGATTAAGACATGTCCTCTGGTAGTTAGGTGGGGCCATAATAGGGGATCAAAGATTTACATTGAATAGGAAAATATTTATAAATTCTCAAAAACCGAAACGAACGTAATTCAGGTGAGCGGTGTGTCTAACAGATCTCTTAATCTAAGATGTAGTTTTAGGGCCTCTTTTACAACATATTATGTTTGTAAAAATAATTTTGCGTTTTTTAAAACTATAACATATATATGTAGTTGTAACAAAGACCAGCAAAAATCGGACAGAATGCGCTATATATCAATGAAATGTAAATTGATTGCAGATAGTTTGCAACTGGCTTATAATTTATTATATGCAAGGGCATATCTATACGTGATCCTCAGAAACTTCCATTTTACAGCCATAAAAAAGATTAATTTTTTTTTGCAAATTATCTGTACAATATGAATATAACGCGATTTGTCGGAAAGACAGTGTCGTTTAGGATAATAATGACTTGGTAATTGCAAAGCTATCCCATTAGAGTTCTCATTTTAGATGTTTAACATTCGGTAACGGAAGATTCTGACAGGATTTTCATTTAGTCCGCTCAGGCTGCAAAATAAATATTGATGGGTTAAGCTTGTCTTCGGAGGAAACAGCGTTCATCATCTGTAATGCTGCTCTCCTTCTTCAAGAGACCTCGCTCTACATACATTTACGAAAAAAAGATGGCGATTTTGCAAGCTACATTCTCTTGTTTAGAGATAAACAAGTGAAGCCCAAGATAAGTTGAAGAACACCTTGTCCAACTGATAGATTTCTCACATTTTTTTCAAAACAAAACCTGTATTTTATCACAGATATCGGTATATAGTGTTTTGACACGTCGCTTATTTCCCCCGAATTTTCTTGCTTTTTTAAGAGGTTTGTTACATAAATATACTGCAGAAACAATTCAATCTATGCTTAAAGATGTTCTTTTTTGTTTGATTATATCATTTGCAGGCATGATAGATAGATTGTATACAAGGATTTTTAACTTCATATCATATCAGTAATACAAGGAATGTAGAATTCTATTTGATGTACTGGTTACAAATCCGGGGGAAAAAACACAGTAATGCATTAATTTTAAACATTTAGGAATAGGATAAATAAGATTTCAGTGAAAGAAAATGCTCTGTTTGTCAACAAAGTCATTGACTTCTACTATACCATTTATTATCAAAATATAAATATGAATAGTAAGAAATTTGCTCGTACACGTGTTCACCAAGTCGGCCATATCTACTTACGTCAACATAATCCACTTTGGCGCTGTACATCACGTGTCTTGTCCCCAAGTCATGCAGCATTTCTTCCATTTTTTTAGGTTCATTGATTCTTGCCAGGCATTTTTCAACTGTTCCCATAACCCTCAATGCATGCTCTCTAAGTTGTGAACTGTGCCGGAGATCGTCTTGTGACAAACCTTTGAATGGCATGAACACGTCTTGAACATCCGGATGTGTTTCGAACAACCTACAATATTCATTTTAGTTTACGAAGCATATAAGATTAATATATTTCAAATTACATAGGTTATACCTAGGTGTCACAGTGTTGTAAAGATATTGTTTTTAATCATTGCAATAATTATGTTTGCTTTAATATTATGACTTACATTATACAGAACTGTATGGTAAAACGATATAAACACGTCTAGACAAGTACATCCATCTGTAAGATTGATCATAATTAACTGATTTCTATGTAGGCCTACCATTAAATATAACTTTATTACTGCATTTCTTGAGCAATACTAGAATCACACTATACATCAACATGTAGCAGTTCTTTGTTTTTAATCTGTAAATATTAAATATCATGAAAAATATACTTTAGAGAGCAAAAACTACAGTACTCGCTGCAATTCTTCATTGCATAGCGATCACTATTGTTTAATACTGCATTGCGTAATACGCATTGAGATGCCGTGTTATTCAAATACATAATGCATAAAATTTATCCTCAAAAAAAGAGTAATTTGTAAATATTGAACAGACCGGCAAAAGTATTTCTTAGGAAAAGACCTAGAAGTTCTGTCAAAAACAAAAACCTTTTCAAAATAGAAGAGAAATGGAAATTCCAGCAATGTCAAAGAAAGCGAATATTAAGTTTCTTTTGAGTTAAGTATTTTTTTTCTTGATGTCATGGTTTTTGTCCAATTCAATCCAAGGAAGGGTTATTACTCTATTTCGTGGGATCTAAATTAAAGATGTGAATTCGATGTTAAACGTTACAAATTGTCTTTGTCTTGCAGGCATGGATTTTGATTGAAGTACAAAAACAATTTTCTTTAGGTTCGGTTGCAACTTTTATCATTAGTCCTCGAAGGAATAGAATGTAGCTTCTACATCTAAATAGGCGTAATTTTTGTTCCTTCTCCTGTAGCAGTCAATGGATGATATTTACTGGCTACACAATTAAGTTTTTTGTAGACGTGCTAGACCAGTAATGTTCAGAATATTTCTTTCACACTTTATTAAGTTTCTGAGAGACTTGCAGTAATTCCTATACTGTAGACGCCACAAAGACTCCTTTTATTCATTATAAAAGGAATATATATTACATGTAAATCTACCGGGATTTCAAAATATTGCTAGTATTGGTAAAACAGATTGAAAAAAGTCCTCATCAGAACTTCAAGATTTAAGCTTCAAATGTGTATTTACATGCATTAACAAGACTTTCATCAAGAGGCCCATGGACCATATGCACATTACAATTCTACGTTTCTATTCTATACGTTAAACACATTTTCTTTTTCTTTACACCACCACTGTCAAATAATACGGAGTCTTATGTGCCAGGGAATCAATTGCTTATTTCCACACAACATTACAACATAAATACATAGACATTTCCCCAGGGACCAGTCCTAGTCAGAAATAAATGTGAAGAATGAACGAATTTGATAAATTATATATAAAACCACAATGAAGTATACTTTGCTGCATAGTTCTCCTGATATCATAATTGTCACTTTCTGATCCTTTTTTTCCGCATACGAATACATGTAGGTGTAAGTACTTGTTATCGAGTTTAGCTGTACATACTGATAACTGCTTTTCTTAGAGGGCATATTTTCAGATTTTACATTGTAGTACGTTTCCTTTCTGACTGGTGGGCGTCCGTGTTGCTTGCAATTTACAAAAATTGTACCGGTAAATAGCTAAATACAGGGTTTATGTGAATAATCCGTCATAAGGAAAGCTACTGCAATGTATTGGTAAAAGCATACTTTGTTTCAATCAGTTTCTGTCACGAAGATCTTTGATACGAACTTGCTGGTTTAATGACAATGATAACACATCGCTAGAGAAATGTTTCTTTATCATCCCATATCTGAAACGTATGTGGAAGCATCCTTGAGTATATACGTAGTATAGATTCTAAAAAAAATGAGTTTTTTTGAATTGTTCAAATCATGATAATTTAGTTCCCCCTGTTTCCGAGTAGGGCAATATAAAAATTCTAACCTTTCTGCATCCGGAATTATTGGGTTTTTAATTTTATCTTCTGAGTATTAAAAAAATGAGTTCTATATGGGTTTTTTATCTATCAAATATACTTATGAAAATCTAAAAAAAAAAAACACAGTAAAAAAATAAAAGGTTCACAATTTTGTTGAAAATATTTCTTCAAGGTTGTTTGAAAATAATTATAAAAGACATGTTGTTTCCCAGCCCCCTTTTATGAGTATAATGGCAAAGTGCAAGGTGTAATCTTGCATTATGTAAAATCACAGGTGCTTGGGTATGGGACCCCTTCCGTGTTCCGTACTCCTAGGGTTCTTATACTTTTTTTGATAAAAATATTTTCCTATGACATATTCACAAAGTATTACTACTAAAAAAATCCGTAAAACTTTGTCAGAAGAGAGTATGTGAAATCTGGGCATCACCTCCTTTACATTATATAAAAAAACCTATATCAAAGTATTCCAAAGAGAGAGCTGTAATCAAAGCAAAAGGATACGTAACGAAATACTAGTAGCTTTAGGTAAATGTGTATTATTGTTTGCCTGCTATTCAAGTTTTGCTTTGCAACAGGATAGTCCATCATTTAACTACGGCGGCCATTTTGGGAACTAAATTATGGCCAACTACTGTATATCTATCAAATATACTTAAGAAAACCTGAGGGAAAAAAAAACACAGTAAAAAAATAAAAGGTTCACAAATGGTACCCCAGCCCCCTATATGAGTATAATGGCAAAGTGCAAGGTGTAATCTTGCAAGCACCTGTGTGTAAAATAAAAAATATTTTCCAATGACATATTCACAAAGTATTACTGTAAAAGTTCCATAAAGTTTTAGGGGCGTCTGCGTGTGTAAAATGAGATTCTGTAAAAGTGCTATTGACAAATGGTGACAACAACAACCCTCCTTTTCCTCTTGTTGAGTATTAATGCAAGACTTCTTTATTATATTCGCCTGTAATTCAAATATTAAGATCTAAGGATTGTTTTATGCTATCAACGACTGCGACACAGGTTCATCTCATGCCTTTTCTCCACATACGATTACGAGCCCGCGATCTATAAGCATCAACTGTTAGCTAGACCTCCGTTCTAACCATTCCAGTTACTGATAGAACATCTGTTACAATACAGAAGTTAGCTCATTTTGGTAAACTTACAAAAAAAACTTCAAAAAAGTAGAGATTAACAATTATGTTGAAAAATTGTGTCAAAGAATGTAGAAAACTACTGCACTATCAAATTTTGTTTTTCTTCCTTTTGTGTGTGTATGCAACAATTATGTTAGAGATAAAGTCTTCAGTGCTGATAAATTGTAGAATATTTTATTCATAATTAAAAATTGAACTTCAATTACTCAAAGGAAAGTTAAAGTTTAGATTTAATTCAATTTTGTTCAATAAAGGAAGTTTTTCTAGGTTTATCGTTCCTTTTAAATTCGTCAAAATGCAGGCAAACCAATACATATACATTTTAAGTTCAACACTGAATAAAAACAATAACTTTGCAAGAATAAGGCATAAGGAATTAAATAAAATAATAATTGATATCTTTGATTTATGTCCCACTTCCACAAAACTTTTATATAAATCTATTCATTATATAGATATGAATTTATCGTCAATAATGTTATTTTTTGGGCATGAAAAAGAATTTATTTTATGACACAACGCATTATAATTCAGACATTATCAAATATTTTCTTGCGTACATGTCTGGTAATGTTAAGGTTAATTTTGTTGACAATCGAATAAAGTTTGTGTTTCTTACTGCATGGCTTAAAACTGATATGCAACTGATTAGAGTTTGTGTGTGCATAAAAGCTGTGGGTTTTTTCCACTCATCATCTTCCCTTTTCAATAAATTTGTGATTTACTCAAACAGATGGAACATGCATTTTGCATTATAATTTTTGTTTCTTGGAGACTTTTAAAGAGAGCACTATGGGAATAAAATCCAAGTTTTATTTTTCTACGAAAACAAACAATTAAACAAAAACCTTGAAAGATGATGGTTGGTGAGTATAGCACCAATGTAATTTTCATTTGAAATTAAGACGACTTCATAAATTTGCGAATTATATGGATTTATTTATTTCTTGAATAAAAAGGAGAAAATCCACAAGTTCTCAGATCAAGCAAAAAAACATCAAAATATATCAAAATTTAAATACCGGTAGAGACCTACTCCTTTTAAAAAAAATGCTTTGAATTAATTTTTATTAAAATAGAAACTCTCATTAAGGATGGATGAACTCGCAAAGAGTATACAATTTATATATATTAACCTTATTAAGAGCTTTCTTTGTTGCAAGAAAATAAATGTGTCTGGTCTGTTATCTTTTAGTTTAGTAAATAGTTTTTGGCAACTTCTGAGTAGCTGTAACAACAGTTTAAAATCAACTTGAGATCACTCTAAAACGTAGATTCTGGTAAACAAGCTTGTCTCTTTCTATCATTCTCGCCATCAAACGAAATGTGTCACAAACGCAATGATACAGAAATCCTGTTAAAACAACGTTTTATGCTGCATTTTCCTTGTAGCAAATTGTTTCGCTTGATGACCCCATAGTGTGCATTTGTTTTCCTTGTAACGAACTTTTACACGTCTAATATCCTTAGAACCATCATGCTAACATCAAAGGAATATGGACAGCAAAGTCAAAGAACAATATATAATTAGTAATATAAGAACATGGTTGAACAGTGGGAACGTTCATAAAAAAGGCTTCAAACACCCCGTGTTCAACGCAAATATTTATGATCAGTAAATCTGTCCAATAACTAATTATGTTTAGATCAATACTGGCTTATAGGTGACTAGGAGGAAAGCCGCCACATTTTGACTTATTTTCAGGATGAGTATTCTTAGCTTTGGATTGCTCGTCTTTGCATAATGTTGTATAAAATAATCGAACTTTGCAACTAAATACATAGTAAACCTGAATGCATTTCAAGGGATTTTGTTGTATTTGGGAGGTATAATACATATAATACTGGGATATCATTGGCACTGAGGTGGAGAAAAATATTTGATCTTTGTAAAATCTTTGTAATTCTATATCCTTTACGACTTTAAATTAATATCCCTTATCCTTTCTTTTTAATTAAGAGGCATGTCTAAGATGACTAAGTATTTTCCAAAAACGACTGTCATTTTTCTGTTTGAAGCATACACTGAACTCAGAGCATTAATATCAAGCAATTATTTTCCCTCAAGATAATAACTTGAAAACGAAAAAAAAACCCTTTCAATTTAATAACTGGATTTCTACACGTTCACATTTTGTAAGAAGTTACAAGCCTTATGAAGGCGACCAGATTTGAAGATTTTATGTACAAAAGTGAAAAATACCAGAACTTTCAACAAATAATTTATAATTTATTCATTATACATTGATAACTTTTAAAAAGAAATAGATTTTAAAAAAATAATTTATCACAGGTTTTTCAAATAAAATAAAGTTCTAAAAATGCATTACCTCATAAACATGACAACGCCTACTTTTGACATATCTTCCTGTATTTTTTGCCAGGATTGCATGATCAGCTCCTTTTGTCTCTCCGTTAGGTTGGGTATTGGAGGGACAGGGTCCCGGCTGTGGAAGGGCGAACCGTTTGCTGATTCCTCGTTGGTCTTCAAGTAAGTTTTTCTTTTCGATGATGAAATTTCAAGTCCTTGTCGCAAGGCCTCCTTTCTTCGTTTTTTGGCATTTATACAACCCATGGTTTTCAAAAAGTCTTTAACTTGCTTTTCAAACTTTTCCCGCTATGTCATTGTTTTTAAACCTTCTAGATTGAAATCAGTTGATGTACAGAATGATGTCCAAAGTTTGGACTGTCAAACCCCCTGTTAACACATGACCATCAATTTATATTACGAACTCACGAATATTCCATGCGTATGGTATATTAATACTCGTAGAAACCAATTATAATGGTAAAATCAGCGAGCAGCCGCATTGAATCGCTGTGGTGCCATGATCAATATGCCGGTATGTCGCCTTCTTAACTGAACAAGAAATGGTTCCACTGTGAATAGCAGCAGTACAGCTACGTCTAATGATAGGTGTATACAAAGCTGGATAGGCTGGTCAGGTGGTTCCTAGACAGCATTCTGTTCTCCATTAATTTCTTTAACTTATGGTTAATATAAACAGGTTGAAAGTAATCTCGAGTTTGAAGAAACGGTGTAGATATTCATTGCTCTTAGTGATTTTCTACAGATATATTGTTAGAAAGATGTTGGCCAAGATTTCAGATAAGCATGACAGGGTGTGTATACTCTTCACAAATTTAACACGTTTTTATTGTTATTTAACAGGGCTTTTAATATATTCTTAGAATTTCTCATTTTCAGCAACACATCCATGCACGCATTATCTGTTCGTCTTGAGATGATTTATGTTTTGACATTTACAAATCATAAGGTAGGCTCTGTTTTCCTATGATATGGGTGATTTATCGTTTGGAGTTGTCATCGTCTGTTTAACATGTACGAGATCTGCAATTAAACGAGATATACCAGTATGTCTCGCCACGTGTCTAGAAAACAAGAAATTTAATTACTACTATATAGATGTACATATAGCTGGTTTTGCGTGATTAAAATGGAGAAAACAATTCTTTTTTAACTTCAAATACTGAAATAATTTATTATCGAAGATTTTTCTGTTAACATAATGTAATTGTAATCCAATTTATTTTTACAGTTGGAACAATAGATGTGAAATACTGATGACCAATATGACAGCATTTGGCGAAGTCAAGTCAAAGTCCAAGTCCAAGGTCAAGTTAAAGAGATTGAAAATATTCTTACCCAGAGAAAAGATATGTCTTGTTAAATGTAAGAAAGATTCAGCACCAATCGTTAAAGTGTTATAGCTAGTAATTTTTTTTTAAGTGAGTCAAATTCAAAGATCAAGGCCAAAAGATCAAAATCAATGGTACTCAAGGGAAGACCTTGTCATCAGAAATACACAATATTTCGCCCGGCGAAGAACAGTTGCTACAACTATTTTAAATGACTTATAGGTCAGTCGCGGCCGTGACTTCCGATCACGGAGCGAGGCTCAACCGACTGGCCTCCGTACCGGCGTTGCTTCACCAATATTGGCCAATCTGAGAATATAGGGGATTATCAAAACGCAACAGTCAAAATTTTGTTTGTTCATGGACAGCAAGAAGTCATCTGTTGGTATGATTATAATAAGTGAAAGAACTTTTACTTCAAGTGTGAAATACATGACCTCTGAAATCGTGGATTAGGCTCAATGGTCACTTCATCCTAGTGGACGTCTAAAGGCATGATTATACTGAGTATTAAATTTTTGACCAAAATATTAAGCGCCCTCTTAATTTAATCATGGTAATTAACAGCGCTAACCTATGGCTTCTTTAACATATACTCACCGTCAATAGAAACCCAACACTCTAATTCTAGGGTGAAAATTATATACGGGATATAACTATGTAACAAAAAATTAGGACATCTTTTACTTTGCCAAATCAGTTATTTAACGGTTGAATAAATTTCTTTCCATTACCGGAAGTTGCTTTTTAGCCCTCTAATATCAGAAATCACAATTTTGCATTTTTAATAAAAATTTTAACAATATTTGGGGTTTTCAAGGTTTTGTAGCTGTTAATCATAAGTATTGTACTAAAAGTCCAAGGAAAAAATCCTTCTTTCTTTACTGGATGTGATGCCTAAATTTCTAAATTAAGGGTGTTGCGTTTCTATTGACGGTGAGTATATATTGAAAATACATTCAAGTTCAAACTTCTAAACTAAGGGACAAGCGCACACTGTTCTCATATAAATAGATATCACTCAGTCATGCAAATTGATAAAAATATTATCATTATATTAATAAATGCATAGTTTTATCCAAATTAAATAGTACTTCGCAGTCTTCAGGCCCTAGGGCTTGGCTATTTTGGCCTGATATGAAAGATGTTAGAAAGAGTTTACACCCTTGATTTTTTACACCCATGTAATATGAATGTCAACTATTTTTTGTTAAGGAAAATCGCACTCTATTGCACATATTAGGATTCCCGGCCCCCTCCGCTAGTTTATCCGTGGGAGAAATCTTACTCTATAGCTATTTTGGGGAGATTATTTTGTAAATCTAGTTTTCTGAAGAGGGGGTAATTTAATTAGAAGGGGGGAATCAAACTCCACAATAACGGTACACAATATATATACACACTTATGGACACCAAATCTAATATGAAGTGTCGAAAATATTAAAGTATTGTTATCTGCAAATCTGTTAAGACATAGGTAAATTAATCGAGGAAGATGGAACTACATATATTTTGCATTCACTCATTTCCTCAATTTTGTGTTGAACTTCGAGAGATTGTTTCTGAAAACCTTTAATAATAATGAATTCAACTTTTGAATTTACAGCAGACTTTGGCCTGTATGCTTCTTTTTTTATTATTACGTATATTCAATAATGAATTGAATTTATATAAATGTTTACATATTCTCAAATGATGTTTTAGTAGAAAAAATCATTATAGATACATGTAGGATATGATGTACAAAAAATGGAACTTATTGTAGTCTATGCTAAAAATCCGTGTAGAATTTTCAATACTACCATTTACTTATAAATGAAGATAGTCTAGTAATGGTAATGACCCCAAGGATCAATCTCATAGCATAAGTGGAGAGGCTAAAGCTTTTCACTAATGAACATGGCATAATTTTTATCATTAAGTGGAGATTTTTTTTATGTAACTAATGATATTGATTTAGGCTTACCTTAACTAAAGGCTTAAGGAGGCTCTGAACCCTTATAAACATCACTCTTTAGACTTGGAGATAAAAATAAATCATTTAAAGGTGTTGATATTCGGTTAATCTAGTTTATTATTAATATAGATATATGACATGTATTCCAAGTGAATGTTTTCAAAGTCAATGAACAATCAGTGAGCAAAAATCACGGCCGTTAACTTAAATTGTGAAATGATGGCAAATTGTGAATTCAGTTATTTTATATTAAGCATGTGATGTTTATTATTTAATCTGAAACATATGGAGATAACGAACTGTATTCAAGATCAAAAGTCCATAAACAATGTAAACAGCATTTGACTCAACGTTAAATTGTATTGGCTGAAAAGGTCATTGTATCGACCATAGAACTTACGAAATGATGACTTTAAACGAGACTGTTGATATTCTTGTTTCAACGACTTGTTTGTCACTAATTAACATCGTTTTAGAAATCTTTCATACGTAGAGCATGTTCTTGCGTATCGAATCAATTGAGATATATAACTCCCTTCCCCACAGTCACGCATTTTAACGCATATACCGTTACCCCACAACCACGCATTTTAACGCATATACCTTTACCCCACAATCACGCACTTTAACGCACATTGCGTTTTTTGACGTTTTCTGCTCTGATACCGCATAAAGTTTTGATGGTATGACAATAAATGATAAATAATATATTTTTTTTAATTCCATTCTAATATATTTCGCAAATAAGAATATTTTTCCGCGTTTTAATATGTCCGAGTCGATCGATTTATTAGACGAAACTTGGGATGCGAGACAAAGTAAGAACGTCTTTCTTTTGACACTAAATAAGCTCACCAATTGAACCACTGGGTTGGTGATGTGGTTGTCCCCCAATCTTGTGTGAGATGGGACCCTTGATCCAGAATTTATCAAATTCGACAAATTTTATTTAAATAATTAGTAAAAGTGTGTGCAGAAATCGACAGAAGGAACGGATAAAATTACAAAAAAAAAAATTTAAGTTAACTCATACTCATACAACTGAAGAGAAAAGAGGTTTTGTTCATATAATAAAGTTTTGTTTTAATTTACATTTAATCTTATTTCTTGTTCGATTTAAAATCAGTAAAAATACGATTTATTCGAATTATTGTTTCCGCCTAACACAGCAATAAAAAAAAATAATTACACAATTGGAAAGGGAAAAAAAACTTAAGAAACGGCAATATCGTGTTGAAAAAGATGTAGGTTAATTTAAATTTGAATGATTTCGTTATCGAGTCAACGTTTCCAATATTCGTAAAAAAAATGTTGCACTTACTCGTATGTATTGATTTTTAAAATTATACGTACATGTGTATACATAAAACAAGGTATTCGGGAAAATTTAATGCAAGTATACTACATACTTGTTTGATATTTTTAAAAAACAGGGCTGGACAAACACAAGTTTGTCAGCCAATGATCGCTAGTAATACCCTGCTCTGATGTGAAAATACACTGATATGTTAACTGAAATTTACACAAGTTCTGTTACGGGCACATGCACGGACAAACAGGAAGCTGACCTCAGATTCATACAAAAATGAATTCCATTATATGGCATGCCACAACAAAGTATGCGCTAAAATTTCAAGCATCTGCAATAGAAGTAGTTGCTGGAAAAATAACTGCGACGGTACTGTGTTATGTATTGTACGACAGACGCACGGATTAACAGGCAGTTGACATCGGATTTAAAAAAAAATGGATCCCACGATATAGCATGCCTCAGTGGAGAATGTGCAAAAATTTCAAGCATCTGTGATGAGTAGCTGCTGCAAAAACTGCGATCAAAACTTACGGACAGACACACAAACAGCTAGACAGACGGAAAAACACACAAGGGTAAAAGAGTATACCCCTTTCCCCTTCCTCTCTCCTTGGCTTCGGAGCGAGGGTATAATTAAAAGGTGTGTCCAGTGATTAGTTTTATAAGCGGGTAAATAGTTCCTTAGGAATATTTTTGATTCACTTATCCGCTTTCGCATGTAGTTTAAGAATATATATATATATATATATATATATATATATATATATATATATATATATATATATATATATATATATATATATATATATATATCGTCCGTTGGCGATCACAATGCGCTTTCACGGCGTTGTTAGGGCGTTGTCAGCCAGCTCACAAAACAAGAGCGATGGGATCATATTTGTTCAGCAATTATTCCAACGTATTTGTTGCACCAGGAGCATTTGAGTGAAAACAAAAATGGAAGAGAAAATTACATGTATCAGAACTTGTTCTGTTGTTTCACTTAAATTTTGTAGAAAACTTTTCAGTGTGTTTATTTTTTTTTTACATTCATAATAAATTTAAAGAAAATCTAACAACACATCTGACCCGATAAAATTAAAAAAAGGGAA